AAACAGCAAAATTTCTTTCTTTCTTAACTTATTTCCACCATCAAATAACTAATTTGTTTTAATCACCGGTTCTCTGCAGCAGCAATGACCACTATGCAAGCCAACACCATTTAAATACAGCATGCGATTCAATTCAATTCAGGTTTATTTATATAACGCCAAATCACGACAAGAGTCATCTCAAGGCACTTCACATAGTAAACATTCCAATACAAGTCAGTTCAATAAGCCAATCAATAAAAAGTTTCCTATATAAGGAACCCAGCTAATTGCATCAAGTCACTGACTAGTGTTAGTGACTTTACAGCAATCCTCATACTAAGCAAGCATATAGCGACAGTGGAGAGGAAAACTCCCTTTTAACAGGAAGAAACCTCCTGGCTCAGTATAAGCAGCCATCCACCGCGACTGACTGGGGATGGAGAAGACAGAGCAGACACACGCATACACCAACACCAGCCCACCCACACACAAACACACATCCACGCACATAACATATATACCAAGTAATGTTTCTATGGTTACATTATGATTTCTTAGTAAATATTCTATTTAGTGAGAGAGAAACTTTATTGTATTTATCTATTGAATCTATAATTAAACGGGTAAACTAGTAGTAGCACATTTGATGTCAAAGATAGTAAAATGTTATTATCAGGAGAGGGAGAATGTTTAAATGGTTAGCAACAGTGTTCAAGCCGATGGCCCCCTCCATGAGGGCACCACAGCTCAGCAGAAAATCATTGTAACTTCTTCTGGGGAAAAAAATACTTAGAGAAAAAATAAAGTTAGCAGCTGAACTAGCTGGAAATAATACAGTTAAAAAGCTAATTGTAGAAGAAAGTAGTCGAGTGTGGAAAGTGGTCAGTGTATCCTCCAGCAGTCTAAAGCTGGGCGTACACTGTGTGACTTTTTCACTTTTTTGAGCCGATTTTCCACTCGTGTGAGAATCCACGAGATCGGGGCGAGTTTTGCACCGAGCATCGTGTAGTGTACAGGAGGTTACGAGAGGCGTCTCAGAAAGACACAAGGTGTCTGGCTCAAGGACTAAAGCTGGGAGCTGGTTCCACAAGAAAGGAGCCTGATACCTAAAATATCTGCCTCCCATCCTATTTTTAGACATTCTGGGAACCACCAGTAAACCTGCTGTCTGAGAGCGAAGTGCTCGGTTAGGAATGTTTGGAACAATCAGATCACTGATGTATGATGGAGCATGGTTGTCCCACTCCGGGAATGCACCAACAAACTGAGGCTTGCACAATAAACAGTCATGTTATTTTGCATGTATTTTGTTGCATGCATTGCTCATAAACAGGTTTTATGTAGCACCTCACAAAATTTGGTAATCAAGTCTTTCAAAATTCCAAGTTCAGTTTGGTTGAATTTGGGCTGTGGTGCAATACGGTATACCCTCATGCCGCCAATCTGGTTGAACTTCACTGCAAGCTGTTATGGAATAGAACACTCAATGTCTGGGTTAGCCCATTGCTTACTTACTTTTTTCTGCAAGTTACTTTCTTGTTTGTATTGCTTTCCTCTTTGTTGGGTTGAACTTTTAGTGAATGCTTACTTTGGATAATAATAATAATAAAAATTATAATAAATAATAATAATAGATTTATATAGCACTTTTCAAGGCACCCAAAGCGCTTTCCATTATTCATACACTCACACAATCACATACTGTCAGTAATGGTAAGCCACTTTGTAGCCACAGCCCCCCAGGGGTGGACTGACTGAAGCGAGGATGCCTTTTGCACCATCGACCCACCCCTCTGACCACCACCAACACAGGCAAGTTGGGTGAAGTGTCTTGCCCAGTGACACAACAGCAGAGTACTCTGGTGGTAGCTGGGATTCCACAATTCTCTGTTCTCAAGGCTCAACCTCTTGAGCTACTGCTGCCTCCAAATAATAGAGCAACCAATGACTGTAGAAATATGGACAAACTCCACCCATAGCTTTCTGTCACGTGCATTTGAAGCCAAATCGGCAGTTCCGATCACCGCCATCTTGGCTGTGTCACACGTCTCGTCACGCCCAGATGGTCCAAATATGGAAAAAGAGATGCAGAAGCTAAGAGCAGAACAATGAGGTTCTGACTCCATCATTCTTCCCAGCTACAAACTAACCAAAGCTCACAGAGGTTTGGTTGAAAACCTTGGTTGAGCGACTCTTAACTTGAAGCATCCATCAACTCAAGCTCTAGAGTTTCTGTTGTCTCCCTAAGAGAACTCTAGGCACCAAGCACAACTTCAGACCACAGCGATCGGATTTGGGCAGCATGAGCCTGCGCTCCGCTCCTCTGCTGCAGTCGGAGATCAGCGAAGCTAGCAGCGTAGGCTATGGCCGCAGTGAGATGGCGGCGCTGAGCAACTGGGCCCTGTTAGCCCACATTCCGCTCATCTGTGGATGAGGGTGGAACTGCAATTTTTGTTATCTGTGTTGCCTATAGAAAATTCCAACAAAGTATGCCCACTGAGAGCAACACGGCTCAGTA